TTCAGGACCCTGGGATCATGGCCTGAGCCGAAGGCAGACGCTTAACCGACTGAGCCACCCAGGCGCCCCAAGTGTTCTATAATCTTATGTTTAAATCTTTATCTTTTAGTAGGGCCCATGTCCCTGGGCTGTGACCTTCACTGGCATTTCTCAGCTTTTTTTACCCTCCTTTTACTTAAGACCGCAAGGCTGGAGGGGGTGGAATTGAGTAGTTTCCCTTCGCAGGTATGACAAAACTCTGGTAAAGTCTCTTTCCCTGCTGAATAGGGGAACTTTGTCATGTAGAAAAGCACTGCCTGTATTTCAAAATATTTAACATTAGCCCCCTCTGGCCTAGTCCGTCAGAAACGTGAGGTGTCCTTAGGTCTTCCTGTGAAAAGTTGGTGGGGTTTCTGGAGGTAAGACTCCCCTAAAGTGCGACAGCCCTCCTAAGCCGACAGCCCTCCTAAGCCCGCAGCCCCCAGGACTCTCTCACTCTCCTGCTAGTCCTGCTCGGCCTCTGGTCATTTGTTAAAGGTCCTGGGTAAGTGTTCCTACCAGCGTATGGCTCCAGTTGGCTTGGACTCCAGGCAAACCGTCTCTGGCTGTGACTGTCTCTCTTGGCACTGTCCCTACATTTAGGGACAACCTGAATTTTCTGAGGAGTACGAGAAAAGGTGATGATTTACAGTTTAGTCACATTTTCCTTACTGTTGCGGACAGGAGCACTTTAGAAGCACTTTAGAAGTCAGAACTGGGAACAAGTCACTTGTTTTTTATAATCTTTTTTTTCAAGATTTTATTTAAAGATTTAGAGATTTTATTTATTTGAGAGAGAGAGAGAGAAAGAGAGGAGGGGGAGGGGCAGAGGGAGAGGGAGAAGCAGGCCCCCCGCAGAGCAGGGAGCCCGATGCGGGGCTCGATCCCAGGACCTTGGGATCATGACCTGAGCGGAAAGCAGACGCTTCACCGACTGAGCCACCCAGGCGCCCCTCACTTGTTTTTTATTACACTAAGTCTACTGAATAGAACTTCAGAACTTCTTAAAACTCTCACTCCTCAATTCCTGCCAGACTTCTTGATGCACACGCTCCGGTTTTCACACAGCCTCCCCAGTGTCTTCTCCTCAGGCTCCTTTGTGGCTCCTTTTTCTCTGCTCGCTGTCATGGAACAGTCATCCACTGGGGCTTTGTCCTTGACACTCTCTTTTCATTGGAAAGTGATCTTTTCACTCTCTTTATTTGCCCTGGTTGAACATGTCCACAGTGATAGCTCTATGTACCACTCCTAAAGCTAGAACCCAAGTCTGGACTCTTTCCCTAAGTCTCTGACCCTTATCTGCATAAACATACCCAAAAGTGAACTTCCTATTTTTCCTCTGAAACCTGTTTTGCCACCTATATTCGCTTTGTCATTAGATGTCACCACTGTCCACAGAGCGTTCCAAGCCAAAGAGCATGACATCATCAAAGACTCTTACCTCTCCTCACCCACTATGTAATCTACCACCAGATCCTATAAATTGTGCCTCCTTATTTTTTTTCTTGTGTCTCTTTTCCCTCTTCATCCCGCTTTGGCCCTATTTTATTTATTTACTTATTTATTAAGATTTTTATTATTTATTTGAGAGAGAGAGAGAGCGAGAGAGCACAGAGGGGGAGGGAGAAGCAGACTCCCCAGTGAGCAGAGAGCCCGATGCGGGGCTCGATCCCAAGACCCCAAGATCATGACCTGAGCCGAAGGCAGACGCTTCACTGGCTGAACCACCCAGGCATCCCCTGCTTTGGCCCTATTTTAATTCTATTTTTGGTCTGGATTACTGTGATGGACCTTGTATAAATCAGAACTCTGGGTTTTCAGTCCAAGAAGTTGGACTCCCACTAACTTAAGCAAAAAAAGAAAGAAAAAGAGGAGGAAGAATTTACTGGCTGGTGTGACTGAGAAGTCAGAGGAGTAGAATTTTTTCAGGCTTTCCTGGATGTACAGGCTCATACCGTGTTGCCAGGACTCTGCCCCCCCCCCCCCCGCCGTTCTCCATCGTGGGAAGATGGCCACTGGCAGCCCTCAGCCTACACAAGCCTTTTGGTTAACCCTTCCAAAAAAGAGCTAAGCATCTTTCTTGATGGCTTCAGCAAAAGCCATTTTATCATTTGGGTTGGGCTACATGCCCAACCCCAACCCAGTCACTGTGGCTAAAGAGTGAGCAGGGGTGAAGATGATAAAGAGGTATTGTGATTGGTCAGGCCTCTGGTCGTTTGTCCACTTCTGAGGTTGGAAGAAAGCATATGAGCCCCACCTGAGTCATGTGGGCGGAGAAGGATATTAGGATGGGAGAGAGTTGGTGTTTTGGTGACCATGATGGACAAAGAGCATGTGCCTACTCTAGCCTCCTGACTTCCTTACCACTGCTCTGGCCCCTGCCAACCCAGCCTGTACACTGCTTTTCAGAGTAGAACAGGGTGCAGTTATGAAAACAGTCTTTGTTGAAAATTCTTTAGGCGATCTCCAGTGCTTTCAGCATGAAGTTCAAATGCCTTAGTTTAGGACACAAGATACTTCCTGACCTGGCCTCTGCCTACTTCTCTAGCCTCATCTTTGTCCACTTAGCCACAGGTGTATCTAACGTCTATCTAACAAACTTCTTAACATACTATTTTGAATATCTATGCCTTGTCCAAGAACTGTTCTTTTTTTCTGAATGTCTCCACTCATCTTTCTTTGCCTTCTATAAAACCTAGTTAACTCCTTTTCACCATCCTCTGAAACTTACTTGAAGGGTCATCATGTCTTTTGGGAAACCCTTTCCTTCTTTCAAGTTTGCTTTAAAAATGTCCTTTGTGCTCCGATAGCATTCTGTGGTCCACTCTTGAACAACACATTTTATAAGATATGTTTGCTAGTTTACATGTCTGCCTCCATTTTACTGTGTGCTCTCTCTCTCTCTCTCTCTCTCTCTTTTTTTTTTTTTTGAGAAAGAACAGAGGGAGGGGCAGAGGGAGAGGGAGAGAGAGAATCTTTTTTTTTTAAGGTTTATTTATTTATTTTAGAGAGAGTGTGTGTGTGCGAGAGAGCTGGGGGGAGGAGCAGAGGGAGAGGGGGAGGGGAAGCAGACTCCCTGCTGAGCTCGGAGCTTGATCCCAGACCCTGAGTCCTGACTGGAGCCAAAACTAAGAGCTGAACACTCAACCGACTGAGCCTTCCAAGCACCCCGGAGAGAGAGAATCTTAAGCTGGCTCCATGCCCAGCGCAGAGCCTGAGGTGGGGCTTGATCCCCTGACCCTGAGACATGACTTGAGCCGAAATTAAGAGTCAGAAGCTCAACTGACTGAGCCACCCAGGCACCCCTGTGTGCTCTTTTATAATGAGTAAATGTGTTCTATTCGGTGTTTTCATCTTCAATACTTAGCCCAGGACCTGACTTATAGGAGAAAGCCAGAAAATGCTTTAAAGAGCTAAACACCAGCACTCGTCAGGCCCCCCCACCATTAAACCCAAACAACAAATTGTGCCTTCTTTCCTTTCAAAATTGTTCGTTGGGGCTAGTACTATTTTGATTTAATTTTATGAAACTTTCTGCTTGTTGCTACCTAACTGAAGATGGATGATTGATACGTGGCATTACCACTGATGTACTTAAGAAACTGAATTCCGTTGGATTATTCGTTTGGTGGGACCTCTCAGTCTGTTGTGATGGCAAGGATCATATTTGATTCATTGGTTCACAGCCAATGCCTGGCTCACAGAAGGTGCTCATTGAATATTTGCCGGGTAAATAAACACACACCTCCATGTTTTTCCAAGCAAGCTCTCAACGATTTGTAATAAGGCTGTGAATGTTTTCTTTTTTGGTCACATACCTTGGTCTCGTCCTTTTTATCTCCCCCGAGCCCTATTTTCATATTTTTCCTCTTACTCTCCAACTGTTTTTATGTTCTCCATGTAGCCAGGAGGGGGTGGGTCATCTTCTTGGCCCTCCTTCCCCTGGGTCCAAATTAGAGGCAGGGACAGCTAAAGGGGAGTCAGCCATCAAGAGTCCCGATGCAAGAAAGTCACGGCCTCTATATGTCTGTCTGACACAAATAAGGACAATACAGACCTGCAGGCCGAGCTTAGGAGCTCTATGAAGCCAGACCAGTGTTAACTCGGTGTGTAGCTCTGACATCATGAATCGCATAGTCACTTTCTGTTCTGTAAGCCCCCCGCCCTGGTCTGTGGCACTTTGTTACGGTAGCCCTGGCATGTGAATACGCATGGTTTTCGTAGGAAGCACTTGTGTTCACTTCTTCCACTGTGAAGTGCTAAGATGTGGTGCGGCCAGATGGAAAGGGTGCTGGAATAAGAGTCAAAGGTCAGAGAACTGGGTGTCCATGTTTCCTGTTGACCTGCAAGACCTGGAGCAAGTCACGTTACCCCAACGAGCCTGGGTTTCTGCCTTTCTGAGCTAAGGTAATCATACGTGCTCTACTCACTTTCCTGGATGGCTTCTAGGGTCACGTTTATGGCTATGAAATCACACTTTAATTACGAATCAGTTTACAAATATCCGAGGTTATCATTCCCACCATTCTCATTATCAGGTCAAGGAGTTTGCCTTCTCACCCACTTTCCAAATGTGCCAAGGTTAAGAAGGGGAGTGCAGGCTCTGTGGTTTTCCTTCTTACTGAGAAGCACAGGGAACCAGAAAAAGGGGAGAGGAATGTGCAAACTGACAGCAATGATATTCAATAGTTATTTTTTTTCTCATCATTTGACCTCGTGTGGATTAATTTTGTGGAGAAAGCTCCCCTCGTGGGAAATCAACATTCCGTGGGACATCCATCTGTGTTCGGAAAGGCTCAGTCTGTGCAAACCGAGTATCTGTTGAGTACCTACCGTGTGTACCAGACACTACATTACAGGGCAAGCAAGGCGCGCAGACCTTGCGGTGTATTATGCAATGGAGAAGAAAAAAAAAACCACTAAAGAATTACAGACATCTAATTTAACTAATTGTGAATTGCTAACTGTGCAAACATTTCCAGCTTGGGAGGATTCTAGTTCATCTCCTCCGGACTCAGTGGGGTCCCGTGACAGTGCTGGTGAGGAAGGGACAGAGACCGCCATCACCCAGTCACGGCTACAGATGGACTTGGGCAAAGCAACACGGAGGTGAGTTAGCGCCTTCTCTAAAGGAGCAATGATTCGGCAGGGCTGGCTGGTATTTTGTTTTCCTGGTGTGATTTTGCAGGTTGCGATGGCATTTCCATATTCAAGGCACTCAAAGAAAAGAGGATGCCAGGACTGCTGAGCCTTGTCTGGGGAAGCCTAGGAAACAGGATATGCCAAGTGGCCAAGAGCAGGATTGGTGGTACTGGAAGTGCAACCTGGTTCAGGTGCCTGAGGCTGAGAGCACTGCAGGCAGCACCAAAGGTTGCGTGTGCATGGGCGCGTGCGTGCACACACACAGGATCGTGCACACACATGAGCGCGCACACACAGTCACCCTTCCCTTGTTTGCACCTCTCACTAGGAGGGACAAGGCAGTGAAACTTTCTGTTTGATGCCCGTCTCTTCCCAATTCCTAAAACTGGCCCATCCTTTAGGAAGACAGAAAAGAGCACCACTCCGCAAGGACTGCAGTGCAGGAAGGTGTGATGGTAAATTTTAGGCGTCAGCGTGCTGGGCAACAGGGTGCACAGACATTTCGTCACACGTTCCTTGGGATGTGTCTGTGAGGGCAGTTTTGGTTGAGATGAACATTTGAATTGGTAGACTGTGTAAAGCACATTGCCCTCCCCAATGTGGGTGGGCCTCATCTAAGCAGTTGAAGACCAAAGTAGAACAAAGGCCAAGTAAGAGGGAACTTCTTCCTGACTCCCTGAGCCAGGACAATCCATCTTCTCTTTCCTGTGGACTGGAACTTAATCATTGGTTCTCTTGGGTCTCCAGCTTGCTGACTGCAGGTGTTGGGACTTCTCAGCCTCCATCATCTTGTAAGATAATTCCTTATAATACATACATATATACACACATACATACCAATCCAACCTTTATATCATCAGATCAGTCCTTTGCTAAAGAATTCTGCTTTTCTCCACCTTTGAAACAGACAAAACCAAAAGAAATTATAGATAAATGTTACAAATCTGACCAATTATACATAGAATAGTGTAAACCAAATATTAACAAACTGTACAATTCTATATCACATTTTCCCTAAAATGTCATCGATCATAATACAAATCCTGACTTCTGCTATGTTACATGAGGGAAGAAGAGGTCAATTCATATCAGGATGGTCATCTTTCAATGAGGAAAAATCCTCCCATCTCCCTCAAAGTCCACGGCAATGATACAGGAGTTACATTTTATTTTTTTTTATTGCAGAATTGTTTATTTTCTTAATTTAAATTCAAGTAATTAACATATAATGTATTACTGGTTTCAGAGGTAGAGGTCAGTGATTCATCAGTCTTACGTAACACCCAGTGCTCATTCCATCACGTGCCCTCCTTAATGTCCATCTCCCGGTTACCCCATCCCTACCGTCCTTCCCTCCAGCAACCCTCAGTTTCCTGGAGTTAACAGTCTCTAATAGTGTGTCTCCCTCTCTGATTTCATCTTGTTTTATTTTTTCCTCTCTTCCCCTATGATCCTGTTTTGTTTCTTAAATTCCACATATGAGTGAGATCATATGATACTTGTCTTTCTCTGATTGACTTCTTTCGCTTAGCATAATCCCCCCCGCCCAGTTCCATCTGTGCGGTTGCAAGTGGGAGTTATATTTTATAAAGAAGTAAAAAAGATCTATCCCCAGCTAAAAGTGAGATAACTATCTCCATGGGCCAGTGGGGAATCCCAGACAGAGGAAAAAGGGCGTGGAAGGCTTCAGGACCAAAAGTAAATGGAATGACCAGAAATGCACATCCAGAGCTTGGCGTGGGGACAGGAACTCCTGTCACCCACAGGAGGGGGAGGCGGGAGGAGAGGCAGAAGCAGTAACAGGGTTTCTGTTGTTGGGGCTGCTGAAGACAGTCCAGCCGTCCTCTTCCTGGGGGCATGCATGGTTGCCCCCAGGTTCAGTCCTTAACAGAAGCCTCTCACTTGTGGCTAAGTTTTTGTGAAACAGAAATGTAAGACTTTGATCCCTGCCAGAAGATTCGCTTTTTTTCCTCTCTCTCTCCCTTTCTCTCCCTTCCCTTCCCTCTTTCTTTTTCCCGGCTTTATTGAGCTCTACTGGACATATAACATTATATACGTTTAAAGTGTACAACGTGATTTGATACAAGCACATATTTCGAAATGATTATCACAATAGTGTTAGCCACCTCTGTCACCTCACATAGTTACCTTATTCTTTGTGGTGAGAATATTTAAGATTTACTCTCTCAGCAGTTTTCAAGTATGCATAATGCAATATTGTTAACTAGAGACAACCTCCTGTACATGAGATAGTCAGAACTCAGTTATAATTAATTATAATTATTTAAAGTTATAAAATTATATGAAGCTATACAATATAAAAATTATAAAATTATATGAGCTATAAAATTATAATTATTTAAGTTATTAAAGTTATAATTAGTCTTATAATGGGAATTTTGTCCCTGTTGACCAATATCTCCCCATTTCCTGCAACCCTGCCCCTCCCAATACCATTGTTTATTTGAGTTTGGCAATTTTTAAATTAAAAGAAATTTTTTTAAAGTTTATTTTTTTAAAGATTTAATTTATTTATTTGACAGAGAGATAGCGAGAGCAGGAACACAAGGCAGGGGGAGTGCGAGAGGGAGAAGCAGGCTTCCCTCCAAGCAGGGTGCCTGATGAGGGGCTCGGTCCCAGGACCCTGGGATCATGACCTGAGCCGAAGGCAGACGCGTAACGACTGAGCCACCCAGGCGCCCCTGGCTCTTTTAAGATTACAAATATAAGTGAGATCATTCCGTATTCTGACTGGTCAATCATTTCTCATAATTTCAGGTCATGTTCCAAAAACCAAAAAAAAAAAAAAAAGCTCAAAAACGCAAATTTGAGCGCAATAATGGACCAAATCCCCAGGAACACTTATTAAAATGCCCGTATTGGAGCCCAAGCTAGAGCCAACGCCTCGGGGCGTCCAGGTGTGGTGAAGAACTCTAAATATTTGTTCAACAGGCTCTCGCAAGAACCTCTCCCCTGGCCCGGTGGAAGGTAGAGAGTGCTGAGCGCGGATTTGGGAGATAGTGGGGCCCCCGCCCGGCCTGCCCCTCTCCCCCTCCCCGCCTCCTGCTGAGCTGGCACGTGGGGCAGACCCCCGCTGGCCCCGCCCTGGTGCCGCCAGGACTCCCCCGCCCGGCCTCAGCGGCTCCCATCAGGCGGAGGCCAACCGACTGACCCCTGGCAGCAGCGGAGTCCCAGCCCCAGCAGCAGAGAGCCTGGAGGCAGGGAGTCCTGGGGCCGGAAGCGCGGACTCCCCAAGGGGGGGTGGCGGGGCTCTCTTGGGTGGCTCACATCCCGCGACAGCTGCCCCCAGCCCTGACCGTGGGGCGGAGCGGGTAGGAGAGACAGCACAGGGCCACTGCACGTCCCCGGGCCTGGCAATGGAAGGGGTGGCGGGTCCCTGTGCGTCCCCCGGTCCGGGAATGAAAGGCCACTGCATGGCGGGTCCCTGTGTATCCGTGGCCGGGAGAATGGAAGGACCGTCGCGTGGATCGTCCCTGTGCGTCCCTGGACGCAGGAATGGAAGGGGCGCGGGTCCCTGTGCATCCCTGGGCCGGACAATGGAAAGACGATTGCGGGGCTCATCCCTGTGCATCCCTGGACGCAGGAAAGGAACGGGAGCAGGTCCCTGTGCGTCCCTGGGAGCAGGAATGGAAGGGGCGGCGCGAGGCGGGTCGCTGTGCGTCCCGAGCCTGGGAATAGAAGCGGCAGCGGTACCCTGTGCGTCCCCAACACAGGAAAGGAACAGAAGGCAGGACCCTGTGTGTCCCTGGGCGCGGGAATGAAAGGGGAGGCTCCTGGCCGGCCCTGTGCGTCCTAGAGACGCTTGCCCGGGGAGCTGGGCCCCTTTCGTCCCCCGAGGCCGCGGGACCCGGTCGCCTCCAGCCCTGACGTGGGATGCAGTGGGAGTAGGCGCGACCCGTGACGCGCCTCTGTCCTTCCAAGGAGTGCAGGGACGAGTGACGGGGGGCGGGCCCCTGTCCAGCGCGGGTCCCCGCCGCCGCTCCCTGCGCCCTGCCGGGCCTTCCTGGGCGTGTCCGGAGCCCGGAGCGCCCGTCGGGGCGCCGGGACATCCCGTGGGGAGCGCGCTGGGGCCGTGCCCCCGCCCCGGGCGGCCGATGTGTAACCGGCTTTTAGAAGTTCCCGCGACGTGTCCCTCCTCGCCTTTCCCCGAGTGCTCGCTTTGCGCACACCCTCTTTATCCGTGCGCCGTGGGAGCGCGGGCTCGCTCGGGCCGGTTTGGGGGGAAGCCGGGAGCCCCGGGGTGCAGTGAGGGTCCCTGCGGAAGGGCGGAGGGAGGGCCGGCGGGACAGTCAGGGCCCTGCTGGACGTGGTGGAGGGTTCGGGTCCATCTGCGGAGGGCGGCCAACTGAGAGGCTGAGCAGGGTCAGGGCGGTTCCACAGCTCAAGCCGGCCGGTCCCTGGATGCCATCCAGGGAGGAGGGTTGGATGCCTGGGGTGGGGTTGGGGGGACGTGGAACTTTCTAGGAATGAGTGCTGGGGAGCAGTAACCTTGCTTGAGCGCTTCCTCTGTGCCAGGCCAGGCAGCTGCCGTTCGCTTCCACGCAGCTGGATCCACCACAGGAAGCTGATGTACAAGGAGAGACACTGGGTGTCCTTTAAGAAACTTGCGCAGGGGTGGGGCGCCTGGGAGGCTCAGCTGGTTGAGCTTCTGACTCTTGGTTTCAGCTCAGGTCATGATCTCAGGGTCGTGAGGTCAGGCTCCAGCTCAGCCAGGAGTCTGCTTGACATTCGCTCACTCCCTCTGCCACCTCCCCCTCTCAAATAAATCAATCAATCTTTCAAGAACAGACACTTGCCCAGGGATGGGACGGGAACAGTGTCATTTTCCATGACCCGGCAGGAAGAGTCATGAGGATGTTTTCACTTGATCCCCTCCAGGGAAGAGGCCAGGTCCACGAGTTGTGTGAGAGCAAGTAGAGGGAGAGCACGTGGGTGGGTACAGGTCTTGAGACCTATGGAGACGTATGTGACCACCTCTGTCACCACCTCTGTCACCACAAGTGTGGCCTCAGACGTTGCACTTAGAACATTTGGATGTTTGTAGATATGGGCATTGCAAGGTCTGTGCATTGGAGCCTCGTCACCATTTCCCTCTGGCATTTCCTGTGTGACCTGGGACACGTCATTCAGTGCCCCTGAGCCTCCAACCTCGGTCCCCTCATCTGTACTCAGGGCATCATACTAGTCCCCACGTCCTCGCTCTGGGTGAGGGCTACGTGACCTGCCGTATGCGGGAGACTTCGAACAGCACGTGGACACAGTGCCATGAACGTGATCAGTGTCCTTGGTTACTCATGCAGACCAGATGGCTGGTGGCCTGCCCTGTGGCAGTGTATCATTCTCATGAGAAAGCCACTTGGCATGCCATCGCGGGACGAGGGTCAGGCTGATGTGGGCTGAAGTACACAGCCCTTGAGTGGAGAAGAACGAAGGGTTGAGGATCTGTAGCCTTTGGAGGCAAGGCTCTAACTACCTAAGATGTCCGTGGCTGCAGGTGACTCAGCCAGATGGACTTTCAGGGTGACTCACCAGAGTTGTCAGTATTGCTCCCCATTTCCTCTGTGTCCTGTGTATCTGTAGAAACAGGAGACAGCCCACATGAGACTGGGAGTGGGGTGTCATGCCAGCACGTGGGTGGTGGGTCCTCCTTAAGGCAGGTGTTCTCAGCCTTGGTGAAATTCTAGAGCCAAGCTGCTCGAGAGAACGTCCTGCACTGATGGCTGGGGGGCATGTGAAATGTAGCGAGGACCAGAATTGTGTACTTTAATCACTTTGGACTTGAATGTCCCCGTGGCTGGAGTGGCTACCCTCTTGGGCAGCACAGTGCTTGAGGGTCTGGGGATGGGCTTGGACATGCTATGAACCTTTTGGAAACTGGCCGCAGAATTGGATGTGTCCGTGTACTTCTCTAGAAGGTGAGTCCATGGCTTTGCCCTCAGCATCGCTGTGCTTAGGGCTCTAGTGGAAAGTGAGCAAGTGAAGGGAGGTGAGCCTGGCCTGGGGTAACCACCGCTGTTCCCCCTTTCTGCTTTTGTCCTGTCCTCAGCTGTGGGTGGCTCCCCCTGACTGGCATCTGAGACTTGGGGCTCCAGAACCATTGCATCCCGCCAGAAGGGGGCCGTGGCCGTGGCTTGTGCAATCCAGGCCTCGCTGAAGATGGGCTCCGGGTTTCAAGAGTCTGATGCGGACTGGGAGGCCTTCTGCCTGCGCTCCAGGCAGCTCCAGCATGAAGAAGCAGCTGGGCCTCGCTGGGCTTTCCACAGACTCTGGGAGCTTTGCTGTCCACGGCTGGAGCCAAACACGCGCTCCAAGGACCCAGTCCTGGAGCTGCTGGTGTTGGAGCCGTTCTCAGCATCCTGCCCACGGAGACAGAGAGCTGGATGGGGCTGCTGGGCCGGCAGCACAGAGCAAGGTCGTGTCCGTGAGAGAAGACTTCTGCCAAGAAGCCGGGCTACCAGAGCCAAGGGTGGGCATCGCCCTTGGCGTCTTGGGGGTGAGACCCCGGGAAGGAGCAGAGGCCCCTGGCGCTGGGTCAGACGTTTGTCTCCGTGTCCTGTTCGGCCCCAGGATCTCGGCCCGGTCCTTTATATTTGTCTTCTGCTCGGATCAGTGTATGGCTTGCTTCTCCGGGTATCAGACCCAGTCCCCTCCTATAGCAAATAGTCTGTTGTGTCCCCTTAAGTACATTGGAATGGAATTCAAAGGGAACACAGCCTACCCACATCCATCCTCCAATAACATCAGTATCGTGCTGTGCGGGGTGCTGGTCAGATCTGGCCACGGCCTGTGTGTGTACGCCCCGGGAGCTGGAGCAGATTTAACCTGTTAAAGGTTTGCTTTTTTATTTTTTATTTTTTTGAGACTGATTTATTTATTTGAGGGGCGCCTGAGTGGCTCAGTGGGTGAAGCATCTGCCTTTGGCTCAGGTCATGATCTCGGAGTTCCGGGATGAAGCCCCCATCAGGCTCCCCCTTCACTGGAGAGTCTGCTTCTCCCTCTGCCTCTCCCCTTCTTGTGCTCTCAATCTCTTTCTTCTCAAATAAATAAATAGAATCTTTAAGAAAATGTTTTGAAAAAAAGATTTATTTATTTATTTGAGAGAGAGAGAATGAGCACGAGCAGGAGGGGCAGGGGAGAGAGAATCCCAGGCAGACTCTGCACTAAGCGCAGAGCCTGATGTGGGCCTTGATCTCAGGACCATGAGATCAGGATCTGAATCAAAACCAGGAGTTGGATGCTTAACTGACTGCACTACCCTGGTGTCCCCCAAAGGGTTGCTTTTTTAAAACAAGGATGAAAGACAGTAAGATACAGACTGAATGTGGCCCACAAAGCCTAAAATGTTTCCTGTCTGACTCTAAGAAAATGTGGCCAACCCGAGTCAAGTGGAGCCCGGAAAGAATATAAGGGAAAGGGAATGTAGTTTGTCATCGTGGAGTGAGCATGTGAACACACACGTTGGGGCCGGACCGCACCGGCGGACCTCACGAGGTTGTCACGTGCTCGCGCCTGCGCAGAGACTCACTGTGACGGCGACAGCCCCCGGCACGGCTGCTCTGTGGTTTTCCAAAGTGGCCACACGTGTCGGTAAATCTGAGCAATGAGCAAGAGAGTGGTTGCCTGAGTTCCAAAGGCGGGCTTTCCTAGAAGTAGCAAGTCGTGCTAAATCATGCAGAAATGTCTTGTGTCTATACGCGCCCCAGGGTGAGGTTGACACGTTCTTTCTCCCTCGACGCAAGTTTGCGGGGGCACCCCAGAGTTGGTGGGGACCCGGAGCAGTTCCGCACTGGGAATGATACCACTCCTGTCTCTGCCCGCCGGGTCCTGACAGCCACCTGCCACCGTGCCGCATCCGCCTTGGGTGGCGGCGCCAGGGCCCCCTGCTCAGAAGCCCCCGGCACAGGGCAGAACCTTTGGCAGAAGGGAGGAAGGGCTTCGGCACCGTGTGTTGATAGGGCCCTGCAGGTAGCCCGCCCGAACCAGAGTCTTGCAGACTTTCCTGCCGCCTCCCCCCCACCCCCCAGGATAGAGTGAGTTTATGGTGCGCCCTCCCTTTCTCTGTCTCCTGGGTTTGGCTTGCTCCATAGGATTTTTATCCGCCTGTGGCCTAATCGTGGCGCTGCCCCGTATGGTAGCCACCAGCCAGGCGTGGCTCTTGAGCTCTAGAAATGTGGCTAGTCCCAACTGAGATGTGCTGTAAGGGTAAGATGCTCATCACGTTCAGAAGACTGAGTACGAAAGATAAAGTAGGTGAGATGTCTCATGAATACTTGTTCATAGTGGTTACGTTCTGGAAGTGTGGTATCTCAGCCATATTGGTGGAATCATGCATGTCGTCAGGACTGACTTCACCAATGTCTTCTTTGTTTTATGCGGGTCCTGGACAATGAAAACGACGTGGGTGGCTCCCACCCATTGTTGGCACCGGGCGGTGCCGGTGTAGACTGGAGAGTGACGGGTTGTGCCATTTCCCCCAGATCGATAGGCAGGAAATGCTGTTGGAGGAGCTGGTACCAGTGGGCCCGGCACACGTACCACCAAACATCCACCTGGAGTCGCCCCCACTGCAAGTGATGGGACCCGCCCCAGAGGCCCCCGTGGCAGAGGCCTGGATGCCCCAGGCGGGGCTGCCGGAGCTGGGCTACGGTGCTGCCGAGGATTGCCGGCCCTTCCTGGACCCTGGTAAGGCAAGGGGTTGACTTCCTTTCTGCGGTTCGTAGTTGGAGAGCTCGAGAGCTCCCCAGCTTTGGGGGTGGGTTAGAAACACCGAGTCCTGGATGGAAGCGGGCCGCTGCGATAAAGGGTAGGAGGGGGGATGCCTCTCTGGGAACAAAGCACGGGACGTCAGATGGGATTCAAAACCCCTTCAGCTAATGACCCCGCTCAGGAACATTTTGATGAAGAATGTTACGCAGGAAACCCTGGGGAGTATGGACACTGCAGATAAGGCTGATTTTGCCAGCACATTTTAATTAATGGGGTCTGTGATGTCGTGGGTTCCTTAGTTGCTCTTACAGCGTTAAGAGCCTCGTTCAGACTGGTACTTTATGAATATACTCGCTTCAGATCCTTGAAGACGATTTAATCACGTACCAGAGTATAAAGCCAATACCTAGCTCATTCGATCAGAACCTTCGAGAGCATTTCTCCAAGTGTAGCAAGCAGCCTATGTGTATCAGGGTCACCTAGGGTGCATTTTCTCAAGCTCTCTGGGTGAGACCTATATACACTACAGTCTGAGAACCTCTGCTGCAGACCCTCCTAGAGTTTATACTAGAAGGAGAACGTCCAGGCAGAGAAAGGCAGCTGGACTTCGCAGCTCCTGTGTTCCTGTGTTTCACTTCCCTTTGGGGATTCTCCCACAGTGCTACCAACAAATCCTGTCTCTACCCAACACCCCTCTGCTCTCCCCGCCCCCATGAACTTTGGCCGAAGTGTGGCCAGAAACCTCCTTTCTAACTCTCTCAGGCACCGCTTCAACATGTTGGCATTTTTAAGACACTGAAATGCTGAGAAAGCAAAGAGACATAAAAAATGAACATACCGAGAATGGTCCGAGTTACAAATCGTTGGTTTCTGGTCGATCCATAACCAACCCAGTGCCTGGGCTTTGAAACCATGTCCCTTTCCACATCTTAACGTTTATTCATTCGACCAATAGATACAAGCACGTGTTAAGAACTAGGCACTGCTCTGATATGTAACTAGGACTGTAGGTCCTGTATGTGGTGTAAATAGGCCTGGCAAATGCTATGGGGGTCTATAGGAGGGCTGCCTTCCCTGCAGACAGGGAAGTTGTCCTGGAGGAAGGGAAACCTCCGCGGTGAGTTGGAGTAAGCTGCTGGCTGGGGGAAATGGGGAGGGGAGAGGGCTCTGGGCAGAATGCTCAGCATGTGTGCTGAGAGGGGCACAGAGGAGCTTGAGCGGCCCTCAAGAGGCTGGAGAGAGAAGCAGTGTCCTGGGTCACGAACAGCTTTGGGCACCATTTGGGGGGTCATTGCAATCACCGCAGGCGAGAGGATGATTTTCTAAACTAGGGTCGTGTTGATGATGATGGAGTGAAAAAAGTGGGACCAATTCAAAAGCTCAGTGGCCTGGGTAAAATTCAGGACTTGGTGCTCGGCTGGGCTTCGGGTGATGGAGAAGAGAACGTTGAGAACAGCATCCGGGTTTCTGGCTCGTGAACTGGGTAGAACACAAGAAGAGAGTCAGATTTGGAGGGCAGGGGTCAAAGTGAGTTTCGATTTGAACATGAGGAATTTGGGAGGCTTATGGGTCTCCAGGTGGCCAATGTGGAATCAGAGCTCAGGAGAGAGATTGGGGTTTGGGATAAAGATGTGCAAGCCAAAGGCTTAGAGAAGGTGACAGAAGCTTCTAAGATGGTCGAGGTCTTTGGGGGATGGTGTAGAGTAAGAAAGCACGAGGTCCTCTGGGCAGAGCCTGGGAGAAAACATGTCAGAAATGGCCATTTTATGTGGATTCCAAGCTCTTTCAAACTTGCAGTGACTTTGTCTGGCTTCCCTGCTTTCCAGGGCCCTCTCTGGCCATCTGAGAACATCTAAACACTCTGACCCATTTGCTCTTGAAGCTAACAGATAATTCTCCCTCCAGTGCTTACCTCTGGCTCCCCCCTCCCCGTCCCCATCTCTTCTGGTTTCTGTTCGGAGTGCCACCTCTCTTCTCCAGGTCCCTGGCCCACTATGGGGGAGGCACAGGCGGGACTCCACGCTCTCCTTGGAGGCAATGGCTTGGTCCTTGCACACCTAACACTAGGACTGTACATTGTCTATACAGTGCCATAACTCCCATAGAATTCAACTCCTACCATTATGGTGGGCTGCTTGGCGACAAACTTTGTGCCCCTTTCTACATTTAATCAATTCGTCCAGGTACCCTATTCTGTAGCTTACTGTAATGAGTCCTGGGCATGTAGAAGACACGGACTCTGTCTCGTTTTTAATTGAGGTGACAGAGAAGGGTGCGTGGCTGGCTCATGCAGATGGGAGAACATGTGGCTTTTGATCTCAGGGCTGTGAGTTCGAGCCGCGCGTTGGCTGTAGAGCCTACTTTAAAAAAATAGCAGTGACAGAGGAAAAACCCACAAGTACGTATGTGTATCTATTATGGTCAAAGCCAAACTATATAAAATATTGTTATTTATATTCCAGTCTTTGCCTGACCTACATCTCTGGTATGTCATCAAGGTGTGTAAAATCTGTGTTTTGTGTATATGCCTGCGACCAGCGGCAGAACCTAGCCAGTCATATTTAAATATAAATCGTTCTGCATGTGCATCCCCATTCCCCATGCTAATTTGCTCCTCTTAGCAACAGCGCCAAGTACCAAGATCACATATGATGCCCAGCAGCAATATTGTTCTTGGCTGCAATACTTTGCTCTCTAAAGCACAGGAAGGTCCAGTATATTCAACGAGATATAGGATGAATTCAAAAAATAAAATACACCTAGTGGGAACAAAGGCAACGGCCCCTTTCTCATCGCTGTTTAAGGTGATATAATATGCTTCATCCTACCGACTGGGAGGTCCTCATATCCACCTCCTGATCACCAAAATCCCATCCTTCTTACCACTTGGAGAAGGTCTGAGAGATCTGGGGATGGAGCAAGGAAAAAGATATGACCAGGAGGTGGCAGTAGCGAGCACAAGGTTTGTGGCAACTGTGGGGTTTGCTTGCTGGAGAAGTCCAGGGTCCCAAAGGGAGGACAAGGGAACTCCCCAGGGAGTAAGGGCTCACAGAGAGGACTTGTGTCTCTTATGATCTTATAGCCCAGTAGCACACCGGGCAGTTGATGGGCCAGAGAATTCTGAAGGGCTGCAGAGGCGTGGGGTTATAGAAAGACTGATGAATCCCAGACCTGTAGCTCTGAAACAAATAATACATTATATGTTTTAAAAAAAGAAGAAGAAGATAGCAGGGAGGGAAAAATGAAGGGGGGAATCGGAGGGGGAGACGAACCGTGAGAGACGATGGACTCTGAGAAACAAACCGAGGGTTCTAGAGGGGAGCGGGGTGGGGGAGGGTTAGCTCGGGGATGGGCACTAAGGAGGGCACATTCTGCAGGGAGCACTGGGTGTTATGCACAAACAATGAATCATGGAACACTACATCAAAAACTAATGATGTAATGAATGGTGATTAACATAACATAATAAAATTTAAAAAAAGAGTGCACTTACAGTGGTGAGTACTGAGAAATGCATAGAATTGTGGAATCACTATATTGTACACCTGAAACTAATGTAACACTATGTTAACTAATAAAAAGAAATTAAAAAACAAAAAACAAAACAAAAAAAAGCTCCATCTTTTCAATGGCTGGCAGATGGGGGGTGAAGTTTTCTGTGATATGAAAAGTAGGCATGGTCTAAATGGCTAACAGTGTGCTTCTGGGGTAAACTTTAATTTTAATTTTTTTTTTAGATTTTATTTATTTATTTGAGAGAGAGAGTGCACGTGAGACAGAGAGCGAGCATGAACAGGGGGAAGGGCAGAAGGGCAGAGGGAGAGGGAGAAAGAGAAGCAGACTCCCCGCTGAGCAGGAAGCCCAACATGGGGCTCGATCCCAGGACCCTGAGATCATGACCTGAGCCAAAGGCAGACGCTTAACCGCTTAACCGACTGAACCACCCAGGCGCCCCTGGGGGCTAATTTTTAAATCACTGGATGTGTGAGAGTTTGAGTTTGGCACCGACGGCAGGCTTTTGAGCTAAGGAATCTCAGCCTGCAGGGAAGAAATGAACAACCGAGGGGCCAATACAAGAGGGCGCGTTTGTGCACTTAGGCTCATTTCTAGAACAACCCATCTGGTGGTTGGTTATGTGGTAACCCAGACTGGCTGGTGATGAAGATGAGGAGAAGAGACTCACCAACAGAAGTAGGCATAGGGCCATGACTTCTGACTGTTGACCAAAATACCCTGGGGCCAAAGCTATAAAACACAGGGAGCATGCTTCTATGGGCCTGTGTTGGTAGGACAAATTTCTAGAATAGGAACGGTTGGTCAGTGGGCATATACATGGTCAAATGTCCTCCCAAATGATTGTGTCCATTTATGCTCCCGGCACAACCTAGGAGAGAGCCAGTTGCTGCTTTTGCTCACCAGCTTTGTCTTGTGATGAGCGCCGTGGCTCTTTTCCCCAGGTTGGCAGACATAAGGAGGGCTGCTCTCTGTGCACACCTTTTTTAACAAGCATCACGTTCATTCAGCATTCCTGATGGTATTTTACGGGAGGTAGGAGAGTAGAGGATGGAACTGAGGTCAGGAGCATGGGGGACGGGCCGGAGGAGATGGTTAGTGGCCTTAGCTGACAGGGGCTGTGGGCACAGGCTGGGGGGCGCAAACTAACGACAGGGTCGGGAGCCGGCCTTGCTCTTTCCTCCCGTGGCAGTCAGCAAGCCAGCGTTTCTGTTTTTGTTAGCCAGCTCTGTAGGCAGAGCCACTTCGTGTTCTGGCTTTCGCCTAAATCCACTCTCAAAATGATGTGCATTGACATCACCCCAGAATTGGTTCGCTCTCCTTCCACAGATTGGAGGACAGTGGGATCTTCCCCTCCCCTCATTTGGGTCTTGTTCTTTTTTTTTTTTAATTTAATTTAATTTTATTTCAATTCAATTAATTAACATATAGTGTATTCTTAGTTTCAGAGGTAATTTAGTGATTCATCGGTTGCATATAACACCCGGTGCTCATTCCATCACGTGCCCTCCTTAATGACCATCCCCCAGTGACCCCTTTCCCCCAACCCCCTCCCCTGCAGCAACCCTCAGTTTGTTTCCCAGAGTTCAGAGTCTCTTCCGGTTGGTCTCCCTCTCTGATGTCGTCCTATTTTATTCTTCCCTCCCTTCCCGTGATCCTGTTTTGTTTAAGTTCCGCATAGGAGTGAAATCATATGGTATTTGTCTTTCTCTGACTGACTTATTTCGCTTAGCATGATACCCTCTAGTTCCATCCACTTGGGTTTTGTTCTTATCCTAAAAAACAAAAACAAAACAACAAAAATGACATGTCAGAGGCTCCTGGTGAGGCAACCGTGAGAAGGAAATAGGTAGCTATTGAGAGGCCATGTGGCCAGGAAGCAGCCAGGACTCGGGAGAAACCCGTGGCCACTCCATGCACCCCTCCTCCCGTCTCTCCTCTGCCCAGGAGAGCCAAGACCAAAGCCTGACCCGGGGTGCCCAGTGGAGCACAGAGAAGAGCCGAAGTGCCAGGAACTGCAGGATTCCAAGAAAGTGAAAGAACAGTTCCAAGACCCCAGGATAGGTGGGTGAGGGTTCATCGGGCACTCGGGGAGAAAGAGAGGTTCAACCTTAATCCCGGGGTAAAGAGGTTCAGGGTGCCACTTGAGAGTTTCTGTCTTCCCACAAACTGCTGAGGATCTCTTCTTAGTCCCCATGTCCGCTCTCCTGGGAACATGGTGACATCTGTGATTTTTATTCCTTCCCTCAGATTTTGATAACGGGGAGCGGGGGGGGGGGCAGAAAATGAAGAAAAGATGTCAAAGCAGAAAAAAAAAAACTGGAGGGCGTGTATCCATTTGCTGTTTCTTTAGATGGAAATGTGCTTCTTGGTCCCAATGTGCCCAAATTCTCCGAACGGGTAACGAATCCATTGGGAAACCCAGCAGAACAGCTACCCAGAGATTGCACAATACCTGTCCGCCTTCAGAACCTCTCTCTTCGAGAGACAGCCGAGAGCTCCAAGCGGGAAAGACCTCTCAGCCCCCACAGCCCAGGAGCAAAACAGTCCCAGAGGGAAGGCACCCCAGCGTATGCAGTGTGGGAAATGTGTTGCTAAAAAGAAGCTACTCAATAAGCACCTGCAAATTCCCTGGGGAGAGCTCCCTCGCAAGTGCCTGGAATGTGGGGAAAGAGTCCGTAAAGCAGACCTCTTTAGGCACCGTCAAGTTCACACAGGGGAGACACCCTATGAATGCTCTCTATGTAACAAGCCAGCCACTCAGGGGTCCCACCTCATAGCACACCAGAGAGCCTATCCCCCGCGAGAAACGAACCAGCGCTTTGACTATAAGAAAAGGTTTTGTGATAGATCAAGTTTTATGAGACATCAGAAGATCCACGCAGGAGGAAAGCCCCATAAATAGCCCAGTTGTGGGGAAAGTTTCAGCCGGCAGAGGGGTCTTCACTTGGCACCAGAAAACGCACATTGAAGAGAGACCATTTATCTGCGAGTATTGTGGGGAAAGCTACAGACAGAGATCAAGCCTTGTTAATCATTTAAAAAACACAGAAGGGAGAGTCCCTGCAAGTGTAGTCATTGTTCTACAAGCTCGTAAAGCAAGCAGGTCTTACGATGCACCAAGCTGCTCACTTGAGAGAAGAATCCTCCGACAAAAGGTTGAGGGAAACAGCTCCTACACCCCATCAATCAACGCTCATTCATAAATCCTTCACCTGCACGAGGCGATCTCGGAAGAACAGTTTTGCCAGACCTTATTCCTAAGGACAGCTTTGTGTTTTACTCCGTTTCAAACCCATCTTCCAAGGCATGCAAATTCTAGAGTATTCACGGACTCTTACCACTGTCCTAGATCTGTTTAATTGTTATGATGAAAATGTCTTTGTCCAACGCCAACCACGACATAGGTGTAAGTGAGAAGCAGTCCTTCCAGATTTAGGGCCAGCTTCTCAGTAAACAGGGATGCGCCCCATTGACCTCTATCTATGCGATATTTAAGTCACGTGGAAACATACGCTCTTCCTGTTTTGTTCCCACTAACTGGGTGTTGGAGCAACACGCAGATGCCTCCCTAACAGTGGCAAAGAGCACTTCCCTTGGCTCCCAGGTACATCATGTGTCACAGTCACTTTTTTTTTTTTAAGATTTTATTTATTTATTTATTTTTCAGAGCGAGAAGGAGCACAAGCAGGGGGAGTGGGAGAGGGAGAAGCAGGCTCCCCGCTGAGCAGGGAGCCCGATGCGGGACTCGATCCCAGGGCCCTGGGATCATGACCTGAGCCGAAGGCAGACCCTTCACCGACTGAGCCACGCAGGCGCCGGTGAAGTTCATCTAGTTTCTTGAAGACTGACTTACCAAGGCTATAGAGAATAAGGGTCTCGTTTGTAGGGCGGGCCCTAGGAGCGCGTCCTGTAATCTACATTTATTCACCTTATCTAGTTACTGGCAAAATGTACCACAATTCCCTTTTCCCACTCCGTGGCTTGTGGTTTCACTCACTCATTAGCGTACCTCGATGAAGAGAAGTTCCCGGTTGTGACCTACGCCAATATATCTCTCCCCACCTTTATTATTAGTGCTGTTTGAATCCTGGTGAAATTTTTGTCAACCCCAAGATCAGGAACATCTTTTCTACATCTTCCTTTTAAAGTTGTCTTATTTTACCTTGCACATTGAGATCACATTTCACCTGGATTTGATTTCTGTTACAGATGGTATGAGATCCGGGTCAAGATAACTTGAGAATGGGAGAGTACTTGCCACTTCCGTTTTGTCCTTGGCCTTTGGGGCTTAGGGAAAAAAACAAAAAAACAAAAAAACAACCGAGATGGTAAGAGAACATTTTTGCCAGCCTGTCACATGGAGGCGTGCAAGAATGTTAAGAATAGCATCCCAGGCAGCAGGGATGTTTCCTAGAAAGCCCTGAGGAGCGGAGTGCAGAGGGGCTGGAGGGCAGGCTGGAATGCAGGGCAGAGGCCCGGTAATGGCAGGTCTGGTAATCCGCCTGAGGGAGTTACAGCTCAGTCTACACTCACGGGAAGCCACAGGCTCTTGTTGAGAGGTACAGGTGAGCTATTCCTTTTAGAAAGCTCCCTCGGACTCCTGAGTGGGCATTTGGGGAGACGAGATGTGGGACAGGGAAACTAGCAAGGAGGCTGCTGCAGATGGGAGAGGCGGGCTGAGATCAGGGCGGTGGTGTGAGCACACAAGGCAAGGGTTTGAGAGGCTCTAGGAGGCAGGAGACACAGGCCCTGGTGATTGGCTGAATGTGGGGGGATGGGGGTGACAGCCAGATCTGGGTCCTGAGCACCCAGGTGGGGAGACTGGGGGAACAGCTCATGAAAAGGGAATGAAGGCCTTCTTAGCCTTGCTTCCCTGTTTTCCTAGCCGACAGGTCATGGCCGCCCATTTAAACTCACTAGAACTTTCGATGCTGTCAACCCTATTCACTCTCCTAGACTGCCTCCCACCCACAGTGATTCATTCCTTTCATAATCTTCAGGGGCTTCTTTTGTTCTTAAGAATATGATAGGTACGGAGGATGACCGAGTTCCAGTCCTCAGAAAATCAGTTTAGTAGGAGAAGGCTAACTATTAAGCAGATAATTTTATGGCAAGGTGATAAGTGCAGCAACAAACAGATATGTACAGGTTAATATGGGAGCAGAGCAGAAGAATCAGTGGTACATGTTTAAGGGAAGCTTCAAGATGCGTAGAAGCAAGCCTGGCAAAATGGGACAATGCTGAGTTACTGACCCCAGTTGCGCTTGAGGCCAACTCTCTCAAATGGGGTTCCATTTGGTGAGACAGCTTTCATAAGCTAGTTTTAGTTGGATCTCTGTCACGTGAACTGAAAGCCTCTGGACTGAAACAATATCCAGGCCCTTCCCCAAATGAGCTGGGCACACAGGTATGGCAGGTAGGTCTGAGTGGGAGGGCTGGGGCTCGGGGCCTGTGTATAAGGCCGGATGGTGCCAGAGAAGGGGGGTGGCAGGCCTGAGTGGGGGTTCGGAGCTTACACAGGAGTCAGGCAGCAGGCTAGCAGGATCGGTTTGAGTCCATACAGGGGAATGAATAAAACGAGAACTAGATTTGCCTCATTAGAGAAGGGAGGTGCTAATGTGGAAAGGGGGAAGACTAGAACGAACTCTGCTGTTGCACTGGAACTGGAGGTCTTGCTTTGACGTTGTGGATGCTCTGTCAGTTTCCGAGGACTGCTGTAAGAAATGATCACAAACTGGGTGTCTAACAACAAAAATTATTCTCTTACATGTCCGAAGGCCAGAAGTCTGAAATCGAGATGTCAACAGAGCCGTGCTTCCTCTGAATACTCTAAAAATCTTTCTTGACTTCCTGGCTTCTGGTGGCTCCTGGCAATTTTAGGCATTCCTTGGCTTATAGCTGAATAACCCCAATCTCTGCCTCTGTCCTCACGTGGCTTTTTCCTCTGCGTGTTCTCCTCTTCTTGTATGGACACCAGTCATTGGATTGGGGGCCCACCCTAGCCCGGTATGCTCTCATCTCAATCCCTAACTACTTACAACTTCAAAGACTCTATTTCCAAATAAAGTTACATTCTCCGGTTCTGAGTGGACATGCATGGGGGGGGCGGGGCATTATTCAATCGTATATATGTATATATACGATCTTTGTATGTATGTGTACACACACACACACACACACACACACACTCGTCTAGACATACACATATCCTAGCACTGCCCACTGAGAAAGCCACTACACCCCAATACCAGCAAGCGCACCTAGCTTGTAGATCTTGGTTTCAAAAACACCGCAATTTTCACCAAAAGGAACCAGGAGTCTTTGGACAAATGGCTGATTCCCCAGCTGGGGCAGGGAAACAAGATGAGCCTGGAACGCCTTGTTGTTCCAGAAAGTAAAGAAGCACTCAAAGAATGATGGCACAGAAGCCAGTTTGAAGGGGCTCCCGTGCGCCAAATGTGGGATAATGACAGTAACATATCATAAACCTCTGAACAAGTAGGGACATGAGTCCACAGTGACAGATATAAATGAATGGATCAGTCAATGGGGGAGAAGAGGGAGGTCTTCCTTATAGTAGATACTCAACTAATACATATAGAAGGATTGATGATATCAAGAAATCACCATTTGTCAATAGTAATTATTTCAGTCAAACTAAAAAGCTTCTACATAGCAAAGGAAACCATCAAAAGAGTAAAAAACCTACAGAATAGGAGAGAATTTTGCAAATGATTTATCTGATAAAGGGGTTAAAATGCAAAATATATAAGGAACTCCTATAACTCAATAGTAAACAAACAAACAAACAAACCAAACCAAACCACAACCACCTAATAACCCAATTAAAAAAACGGGCTAAGGACTTAAATAAATATTTCTCTAAAGCAGACATACAAATGACCAATAGGTACATGAAAGGATGCTCAATGTCACTAATCACTATGGAAATGCAAATCAAAACCACAATGAGATAACATCTCACACCTGTTTGGATGGTTATTATCAAAAAAACAAAAGGCAGCAAGTGTTGGCAAGGATGGAGAGAAATTGGAACTCTCATATACTGTTATTAGGCACGCCAAATGGTGCAGCCTCTATGGAAAACAGTACGGAAGTTCCTCAAAAATTAAAGAGCAAATTACCCTATGATACAGGAATCCCACCTCTTGGTAGTCATCCAAGGGAACTGAAATCAGGGGGCGCCTGGGTGCACAGTCGGTTAAGCATCTGCCGTCGGCTCAGGTCATGGTCCCAGGGTCCTGGGATCGAGCCCTGCGTCAGGCTCCCTGCTCAGCGGAGAGCCTGCTTCTCCCTCTCCGTCTGCCTGCAGCTCCCCCTGCTTGTGCTCTCTCTCTCTCCGTTAAATAAATAAAATTAAAAAAAAAATAAAAAGAACTGAAATCAGGATTCCGAAGAAATATTAGCACCCCAATATTCATAGCAGCACTATTCTCAATAGGCAAGATGTGTGCCCCAGATGGTGACCCAGAGCAACATCCTCTGACTACTCTGGACAATGTGTGTGGCGGGGAGGTGGCAGGGGGGAGAAGCCCTGGGGCCCACTGGATCAGCTGGGTTTACTCAACTTTTTCAGGCTTCCTCTGTTGTGCTCTTTCCAAAGCCATCTGGAGCATCAGCGAATCATGGAGAAAGGACGCTCTGAAGTCCATCCCAGCATACCCATCCCCAGCATCAAGAGGAAGGCAGATGAATACTTAAAACCCACCCTGGCCTGGAAAACGTGCTGAGCTTTTTACTTGGTAGGCAACTAGGAAGCCACAGAAATGATCTGGATCTGTCAAACTGGCTGTGGATGCTGACACGAGCCACACCAGGGTGGAGATGGCCCTTGCCAAAAAGTCACATAACGTACCTGCTTAGGCCTGTGCGCAGTTTTGGAAAGTGCAAACAAACAGGTTTAGAATAACAATAGCCTTGCGTCCACTGTTAAAATAAAAGCTGCATTTTCACTCCTATGGTTTGATACGTTTTTATGACCAAGCAGCTTTCTTGGGTTAGTTACGCGGGACAGGGGATTCCATGCATGGTGACGTGGAATGCGGCAGCTCGCACAGCCTGGGAGGTGGTGAGATCCCACGGCAGGTCACATCTCGTCCGCCTTTAACCTGAAACAAAAGCCAGGGACCGGTGATGTAGATAGAAGTGGGTCCCTCCGGGAACGGAGAGTCCTGTCCCTAGGCATTTGAGCAGACACCGGCTGTGTCCCCCTGGAAAACCTAGTTGCTACCCTGGTGAAAGACATTGTTTAAGAACAGGGTTCGAGCCCTAGGGAAATTGAGGATACCCATATTTTTCATTCTGAGGCTCATGAGAATATCATTTAGAGCACACAGCATTTTAATATGGGAAGGTTACTTCGTAACAGCACTCCAACCCATCTTAAGGGTGAACTTGCTTTTTTTTTTTTTTCTTAAGATTTTATTTATTTGACAGAGAGACACAGCGAAAGAGGGAACACAAGCAGGGGGAGTGGGAGAGGGAGAAGCAGGCTCCCTGGGAGCTTGATGCCGGCCTCGATCCCAGGATCCTGGGATCATGACCTGAGCGGAAGGCAGACGCTTAACGACTGAGCCACCCAGGCGCCCAAGGGTGAACTTGCTTTAAGCTTAGGTGTTCCTTGCTTACTGACCTAAGTCTCTTGGACTGTAGTGGAACTAACCTACTTTCCTTGAGATTTGCAGCCCACTGGCCTTGAGGAGTGAAGGACTAGATTTTCCCAGAAGATAAGGCCTGACTGCTTTGGAAAACAGCCCCCGCTGATGTCAGCAAGCCTGTCCAAGGACAGGTCAACATAGGACTAACCACCAGGGCACCTGCTTCTCCTGTGCACAGCCCCCCCACCTTTCCCAAGCCTTCCCGTTTAAAACCCCCAGGCTCCCGCTGCATGGGGAAGATGGTCTCTGAGACCTCTGCCCACCATCCTCCCAGGCTGCTGACCTCCTGAAAAAAGCAACCTTTCCTTTCCCACTATTACTTCTTTCTTGAGTATTGCTTTTTCACTGGCGAGGAGCTGAACCTGAGTTGGGAACCGGTTCTCTGTCTGGTACCAATAACCTCCAAGCCTCCTGAAGGTAACAGCTCTTCTCACTGCCCCCCGAGGTGTGCATGGCCGGGCCCCTCGGCGGGGTGGGGTAAAGCCGGGCGGGCGGCGGCTGCGGACACTGTGCCGGACTGAAGGCCCCAGCCCGTCTCAGCAGGACTGGGGCGCCGGCTCCCGGGACAGAGCCCCCCCACTCCCCGGGAGGCTGAGGGGGGCGACAGGCCCTCGGGGAAGTGGGCACGCGAGTGAGGACGTGGGGCGTGGAGAAGCGGGCCGAGGACGAGGGGAGGCGCTGTGGGGGGGTGGGGGGGGGACAACGAGGGGACCCGAGCGAGGGCGGAGCCGGGGGAGCAGCGCCGCGGCGGACACGCGTGTGCCGGGCGGTGGGGCCGCGGCCTGTCCCTGCGCCCCCTGCCGGGCGGGGCCGGTCCTACACCATCCCTCCCCCCCCTCCCCCCCGCCTGCCCGCACCTCGGGTCCGAGGCCGCCGGTGAAGCGGGACCGCTGCAGCCCTCCACGTCCGGTCACCTCCTCCCCGGGCCTGTCCCCTCGCCGCGCGCGGTCTGACTCGGCCTCCGGGGTCCCCGGCGGGGCGGCTTCGCGCACCGGGTTGCCGCGCCGCTCACAGCCAACGGAGGCGCGACGGGCCGCGACGCTCGGGACGAGTCCCACTGCCATCCCCTCGAGCGACGGGAAGCGCGGCGCAGAGGGCTGTGGCAATGTACCTTGTGGTGCCGGGCAGCGCGGGCGCCCACGTGAGCGCAGGGTCCCCGACCCGCCGCAGCAGGGGGCTCTCGGGACGCCCCAGAGCGGCCCGCACCGCCTACCGCGCATCTCCCTGGGGCGCCTGGTGTCCATTGATGCAAAAATGGTAAAATTGTTGATGAAGCACAGTTTATCTATTTGTTTTCTTTAGTCAGTTGTGCTTTGGGAATTGTAGGTAAGAAACCAGGGCCAAATCCAAGGTCATGAAAATTCACCTCTATGTTTTTTTCTAGGAGATTTATAGTTTTAGGACCTACATTTAGGTCTTTTGATCCATTCTAAGTTTTGTATATGATGTGAGGTAAGAGTCCTTTTTTATCCCTTGCATGTGCTTACCCAGCTGTCCCAGGATTATTTGTGAAGAAGATTTTCCTTTCTTCACTGAATTGTCTTGGTGTCTTTGGCAAAAATCAGTTGCTTATTCTAATAGCCCACACATATAATGAACTCTTACAACTGAATAACAAAAATCAAAACCCCAATTTAGAAATTGGCAAAGGACTTGTATAGAGATTTCTCCAAGAAGATATACAAATGGCCAACAAGCACATGAAAAGATGCTCAACGTCATTAGTTACTGGGGAAATGCAAATCCAGTCCACAATAAGGTATCACTTCACACTCACTAGGCTAGCCAAAAAACAAGACAAAACAGAAATTAACATGTGCTGGAGAGAATATGGAGAAACGGGAACCCTCATACGTTATAGGACTGTAAAATAGTGCAGACACTTTGCAAAACCGTCCAGCACTTCCTCAGATAAGAAACACAGAATTACCAATGGCCTAGCATATACCCAAGAGAAATGAAATCATGTCTACACCGACACTCGCAGGCAAATGGAAATTTTACCTTTATTCAGAATAGCCCAACAGAAGAAACAGCCCATATGTCCAACAAAAGATTATTGGATAAACAAATTGTATATCCATACAATGGAATATTATTTGGCCATGCAAAGGAATGATGTAGTGATCCATGCTACAACATGGATGAACCTCGAAAACACTGTGCCAAGTGAAATAAGCCAGAAAAAAGGCCACATTTTATAGGATTCCGTTCATAGAATAGCGAAATCTATAAAATATCCTTGTCTTGTTTCTGATCATGGGGGTAAAGCATTTATCCTTTCACCATTAAGCTGTGGGGTTTTCACAGATACTCTTTACGAGGGTGAGGAATAAATTGAGGATATTAATGTTCACTGGAAGATTTATCAGGTTTCTTTTTGGTGTAGTCCGAATATTTTTCATCAGGAACAAGTGTGTGACACTGTTGAACTTAACTAAGCCGTACTCTGCACACCTACTGTTTATCACCGGCCGGCAGCTGGTAACCTTACGCCTTTTCTCTTGCGGAAGAAATGTATGTAATCCATTCCTAGTAAGAAGTAATATTATCAGAAAGAAATGAGACTTCCTTCGGCAGTGAATTTTTATTAAAAGTGCTGGCAAGCTAGTTTGAAGGCTAAAATATGTTTCAAAATACATGCATCGCCCCCACCCCCCGCATTCAGCTGCTCCTGCTATTCTTGAGCTCCTGACTTTCAGAGTTAGGAATTCTTCTATTGCTAAGAAATTTGCTAGTAGGTTTCCCTGTAATATATGTTAAGACTTAGTTATTTCAAAGGCTTGTGAAATGTTTGGAGAAGTTGTAACTCTTAAACCAGCAGGGGTGATTTGGGGCATTCTAAAATTGGGTGTGTTGATACAGTTTTCGACAGTAATCTTGATTTTTTTAGAAAGATTTTATTTATTTTATTCATTTATTTGAGAGAGAGAGGTCAGGCGGGTGCACGCTTAGGGGGGAGGGCAGAGGAAGAGGGACAAGCGGACTCCCCACTGAGCAGGGAGCCCAACCCTGGGTGGGGCTTGATCCAGGGAATCCTGGATCATACCTGAGCCCAAAGCAGCGGGTTAACCAATTGAGCCACCCAGGCGTCCCTAACCTCAAATTTCTGATTATGATGTTTGGATCCATACATTCCTTAATTGCTGCAGTAAAAATTTTTAGAAAAAGCGACTTCTTGAAAAAAATCAAATAATTCAGTGATTTTTGTTGTTATAAAACTTCTTTCACCTCACGCCTTAGGTCTGGTCCTAGGGCTTTGTTTCCATTGTTATATAAATGTGGTCCTGATTGATTCTCTACCCGGGAGCCTCCTGCTAGCCTCTCTGGGTACCTGAGCCAGGAGGAGGCGTGGCTCTCGCACAGGGTCAGTCCCTGTGTCACAGACACTCTGTTGTCTCCACTGGGCCTTAGGGGCCAGGGATCTTTATTGTCCCCGGCATGGACCTCACGTTTAGATAAAACCAGTTGAACTCTGTTCCGGATTCTTTTGCAGGAATATTAGAGCATACAAGTAAAAAAAAAAAAAAAAGTGTATCATATGTGATGTAAAAGTAGGAATATAAAAAACTTAGCTGTCCCTTCTCGTGACCTCACGGGACCCTGGAGGGAGGGGCTTGGACCTGCTGCTTGAAATACCACCTGGAGAGAATGGGAGGTCATCAATCCTGACTTCCCTGGGCAGGTGATTCCCTGAAGGTCCTGCCAGTGTTACCTCATACTGACTCTAGGGGCAGGGACTTAGAAGGAAGGAGATGGGCCAGCTTTATCTGCCCCCCCGTGGGCACACACGCACGTATGCACCAGGCTCTGCGCTGAGTGTTTTATATTTCATTTTATTTTGTGTTTATTTTTTTTTTATGCCGGGTGTTTTACCTGTGATGTTCCGTGTAGCACCATCTCAGGCAAGCAGCAGACAGCAGCTCCGCCTGGGCCGTTTGCCAGTAGGGGCGCAAGACTGGGGGCTGGGCGAGGGCTCCCCTTGGGGTGCCTTTCTAGTGCCCCTCGAGTGTCTGGGGCTGCTCACTCTTCTAGGCTCCATGTGCAATGCCTCAAGGAAGAGGAACAGCGCTTTGATGACCCGGGCAGATCCTCCTGGGGGAGGTTACAATGTGTGGGTGGGTGACACCCTGAAACCCGGGTTTAATAGGATAAAAAAGAGCCTAATTCTTATGCGTCGATATGAAATAGAACTGCATGTGACTGGGAAACTCCAGAAGGAGAGGAAAAAAAAAAAAAGATGGGTAGCCAGAAAGGGATCTGGGGTCCAGAGGAAGATGAAGTGAAGAATGCACTCCCCA